AAGTCGGGCCTGTCCCTCTACAGGGGGGATCTTCAGAAATAGTCAAAAAATAGTCTGGGGACTATTTTTTGAAAAAAGTATTTCTTGACCATCTCGGAGTTTTTCCCAACCATCCTGTGGTGTTGGGTTCTCGTTTTGAAGAGACGGTGCCCCGCGTCTCCTCTCCTCTCCTCTCCTCTCCTCTCCTCTCCTCTCCTCTCCTCTTCTCTCCTCACTCTCTCCTCTCCTCTCCTCTCCTCTCCACTCCTCTCCTCTCCTCTCCTCTCCTCACCTCTCCTCTCCTCTCCTCTCCTCTCCTCTCCTCTCTCTCCTCTCCTCTCCTCTCCTCCTCCTCCTCCTCCTCCTCCTCCTCCTCCTCCTTCTCCTCCTCCCCCTCTTCCTTGCGTTTCACCCACCCAGTACAGCGTTTCGTAGCCCCATAGGAGCTCCACCGAAGGCCCCAGTGCCCGCGCCCGCATGCGTCACCCACACCCAATTCGGCACACCCCTCACACGTTTCGTGGCTCCATAGGGAGCTCCACCGAAGGCCCCAGTGCCCGCGCCCGCATGCGTCACCCACCCCCATTTCGGCACACCCCTCACACGTTTCGTGGCTCCATAGGGAGCTCCACCGAAGGCCCCAGTGCCCGCGCCCGCATGCGTCACCCACACCCATTTCGGCACACCCCTCACACGTTTCGTGGCTCCATAGGGAGCTCCACCGAAGGCCCCAGTGCCCGCGCCCGCATGCGTCACCCACACCCATTTCGGCACACCCCTCACACGTTTCGTGGCTCCATAGGGAGCTCCACCGAAGGCCCCAGTGCCCGCGGCCGCATGCGTCACCCACACCCATTTCGGCACACCCCTCACACGTTTCGTGGCTCCATAGGGAGCTCCACCGAAGGCCCCAGTGCCCGCGGCCGCATGCGCACACCCCTCACACGTTTCGTGGCTCCATAGGGAGCTCCACCGAAGGCCCCAGTGCCCGCGCCCGCATGCGTCACCCACACCCATTTCGGCACACCCCTCACACGTTTCGTGGCTCCATAGGGAGCTCCACCGAAGGCCCAGTGCCCGCGCCCGCATGCGTCACCCACACCCATTTCGGCACACCCCTCACACGTTTCGTGGCTCCATAGGGAGCTCCACCGAAGGCCCCAGTGCCCGCGCCCGCATGCGTCACCCACACCCATTTCGGCACACCCCTCACACGTTTCGTGGCTCCATAGGAGCTCCACCGAAGGCCCCAGTGCCCGCGCCCGCATGCGTCACCCACACCCATTTCGGCACACCCCTCACACGTTTCGTGGCTCCATAGGGAGCTCCACCGAAGGCCCCAGTGCCCGCGCCCACATGCGTCACCCACACCCATTTCGGCACACCCTCACACGTTTCGTGGCCCCATAGGGAGCTCCACCGAAGGCCCCAGTGCCCGCGCCCGCATGCGTCGCCACACCCATTTCGGCACACCCCTCACACGTTTCGTGGCTCCATAGGGAGCTCCACCGAAGGCCCCAGTGCCCGCGCCCGCATGCGTCACCCACACCCATTTCGGCACACCCCTCACACGTTTCGTGGCTCCATAGGGAGCTCCACCGAAGGCCCCAGTGCCCGCGCCCGCATGCGTCACCCACACCCATTTCGGCACACCCCTCACACGTTTCGTGGCCCATAGGGAGCTCCGCCGAAGGCCCCAGTGCCCGCGCCCGCATGCGTCAGCCACACCCATTTCGGCACGCCCCTCACGCGTTCCGTGGCCCCATAGGGAGCTCCGCCGAAGGTCCCAGTGGGTGTGCCCGCATGCGTCCCGCACACCCATTTCGGCACACCCCTCGGCCCCAGTGCCCGCGCCCGCATGCGTCAACCACACCCATTTCGGCACACCCCTCAAACGTTTCGTGGTCCCATGGGGAGCTCCACCGAAGGCCCCAGTGCCCGCGCCCGCATGCGTCAGCCACACCCATTTCGTCAACTCCCTCACACGTTTCGTGGCCGCATAGGGAGCTCCACCGAAGGCCCTAGTGGGTGTGCCCGCATGCGTCCCGCACACCCATTTCGGCACACCCCTCGTACGTTTCGTGGCCCCGTAGGGGGCTCCACCGAGAAGATATTCACACTTGCAGTATTCACGATTGCATATGGTTGGGTCCTTCGCCAGGATAATTTTTAAAAACATTTTTAATTTTTCGTTGCAAACCCCCCTGTAGGGGGACACGCCCGACTTAATGCAAGATTGTCCATTCTTTCGGATCGACGCAGTGCTTTTTTTTGTCGACGGCCCTCCAAAATGCCCCCGCTTCGAGCGGCCGCATGTGTTTGGAAACTTACAGCTACTTGGCCGACCCGACTCGGACGGACAAAATGGCAACTTGGGTTTGGTTACCGTAGATTTTGGCAGAAACATTTGACAATTTGTATCGGGAAGCATGATTTCCATTCCCTGTAGCAGGTCATGACGTGCTCAGCGTCTTAGGATGAGCTCCGTAGCTGCAGTATTACTATCAAAACTCTTAGGGGAACCTACTATATCAGCACCTTCTGCAGTTTCTTCCTGTGTTTGCATCTTAACTCGTGCTACAGGCAATATACAAAGCTGTCAAGTACACCATTGAATCGGGAATAATTTTGTGCATCCCACAAACATTGCCAGACAACTGAACGCAGGCCTGATCGAGAGAACAATTCGAATCTGCAACTAGTCTAACTTGAGTCGCATGCCGCACTGCGTCGGTGGTGCTCTGGTTTTAACTGAAGCTGGGAGCCAGCCAATGACCTCAGATGCTAAGCAGCGGCATCTGTTGCATCTCACAAACGACGCCATGTCGCTTTCATCGGGCTCGAAAGAGGGAAACACACGAGCACCTATTCCAACTTGAATCATTCGCGCCTTGCTTCGGTGTTGTTCTGGTGTTGATTGAAACTGGGAGCCAGCCAATGACCTCAGATACTCTCATATGAAAGCGGCGACATCTGTTACATGCCAAAGATGACCTGATCATGCTTTCATCAGGCTAGACGAGAGAAACATGCCGCCTTGCGTCGGTGGTGTTCTGGTCTTAACTGGAGCTGGAGGCCAGCGAATGAGCTCAGATGCTCTCTGTTGAAAGCATATGCCTGGTTAGCGGTTTACCGCGGGCACCCAGTTTAAGTGGCAGCTCGCTTTATTGATCTTGTCCTCCCCATCCTGGTCCGTGGCATCCTCGTATTCCCATACTTCTTTGGAGATGCGCGCGCGCATCACGTGCGAGTGCTCCTCCCTCGCGGTAAGATGCTCTCGTCGACCCTGGCGCGTGGATGGCTGCCATCCCGCCATGCAGACGGCCCCGCGCAAGGAGTCCGCCCCCCGCCGCCCTCTCCGTGCCCGGCCAGGGCCAGATCTCGCCCCGGGGTGCCGCCGAGGCCCTGCCGGGGCCCCGGCCGGGAGAGGGCGCGAGGCGCCGCGCGCCGGGGGCCCCACCAGGGCTCCAAGGCCCTGGCCGGGCGCGGCGGCGGTGCGCCGCGGCTCTCCGAGTGCTCCTCGAGCGCGCAGCTCCCCGAGGCTCACGAGAGGGACCCTCCTTTCCCCCCCCCCCCCCCCTGCCCGCCCGCCCCCCGCCGCCCTCCAAGGTGCCAGGCCTCTGGCTCCGGGGAGGGGGGGGGGGCGCTGCGCCGGGCGGCGGCCGAGAATGCTCGCGCTGCGGGGCGCCGCCGCGCGGACCGCCGCCGCAGCCATGCCGGGAGGGAGTTCTGGGCGGGCCGTTTCGCCTCCGGGGGTCGCAACGATCTAGGCCTCCTAGCTGGGGTCGGGGTAGATGGGGTCGGAGGACCGCGCCGCATCGCCGATCATCCCAACTGCTTCGTTAGTTTTTCTGGCCCTGGCCACTTCCATTTTCACGGGGTTCCCAGCTTCAACTTTTCCAGTTCCAGTTTTTCAGTAGAGCGTCGTCGACACGGTAGGTTGCCGCAGGCGTAGGGCCAGGCGTAGGGCCATGCGCTGCCCACGATGCGACGTCTGTCTGCTTGATGGCTCCCCCAGTTGCGGCTGGTCGGGCGGGGGAAAGAGGGAGGAAGGGGATCGAGGATCCGGGTTCTCGCTTTTATTTGTCTGTTTCTTGTCCTGGGTGTCCAGAGGCCTCGAGATGCCTCACGAAACTCGCGGAGACCCCTGGAGTGTTTTCGGATCCAGCTCAATGTGCGCCATAATGCTCATGTGTTTTCAGATCTAGCTGCCTCTTGCACTTCCGCCACCGTGCCAGCGCAGCGTTCTGGGCGGCAACCATTCGTGAAGGCAAGGGGCCTTTTGGGGGCCTTTTGGGGGTGTTTTGGGGCAGAAGCTCGAATTCTGGGTTTGTGCTCACACTCTCGGGCCCTCCTTGGGGCCATTTTGGGGGCCTCGTGGGCATGCTTGGGCGCCTCCTGGGCCGTCTTGGAGCCCTCTTGTGCCATCTTGAAGCTTTCTAGGGTGCCTCTTGAGCCGTCTCGGGGGGGGCTTGGGTGCCTCTTGCACCGTCTTGGAGCGTCGGAAGCTCGAAAAGGCTTCGGAAACTAAATGATTTTTGCCTCTCGGAGCCCTCTTGGGGGTCTCCCGCGACCTCTTGGGGTGGAATGCTCGAATTGTCAGTTCGTATTCACCCTCTGAGGCCCTTCTTGGGGCCCTCTTGGGCATTCTTGGGCGTCTCTTGGGCCGTCTTGGAGCCATCTTGTGCCGGCAGTTCTGTTGGCCTCTTGGATCGTTTTGGGACGTCGGAAGCTCGAGAAGGCGAGGACGCCCTGAGGAAGCCCCGAGGAAGCCCCGAGGAAGCGCCAGGAGGCTCGGGGAAGCCTCGGGAGGCCGCCCCCAGAACGAGGCACGAGACGCACGCCGCCTCGCTCCTCTGCTGCCCCGCCTGGGGCCCCACGCCGCGCCGTCTCCGTCCTCGACGTCGGCGGCGGCGGCTCCGCCCTGGCGGCGGCGGCGGCCCGGCAGGTTCCCCAGGCCGTCGATGTCGGCCCGGCGGCGGCGGCGGCGGCGTCGGCGGCGCACTGGCCGCTCCCGCGAGGAAGCTGGCGCAGGAGCCTGGCAGCCAGCCGCCCGAGACGTGTGCCATCTGCTTCGACCCCGTGGCCAGCAGCGCGACGCTGCCCTGCGAGTGCCGCACGGTGTAGCCACGGCCTCCTTGCGGCGCGCACCGCCAAGGCCCCCCCCCCCTGGGGGTGCAGTGCTGGACCTCGTGGTGGGTTGCTGGAGAATGTTCTTGTAACCTCTGGGCCACCACGCGCGTGATGTCCCTTCCCCTCCCATCCCCTCCCCCCCAAAACGTAACGCTCCTCCCCCCCAATTCGTCCCCAGGACTGTCGCAGCGCGTCCAGCACTACAGTATGTCATGGTGTTTGGGGCTGGGGTGTCACGTTCTGCTCCCCCACAACGCCCGTTGTCGCCGCGAATCAACAAATCACTGGTCTCAACCGCTTTTCGATGGCGTCGCGTTTCTGACTCTGGGTCTTGTTCTGGGCCAGGCTGGGCTGCGGTATTCGCGCGCGCGTGCCGTGCAGCGCGCGAGCAAGGCAGCTAGAGGAAACCATTGGCGACGTCTTCTGTGCGATCCGAAGGTTTTTCCGCAACTTCGGCCTCCAGAGGCCCGTTTCGGGACGCGGGAGCATCGAAATCGATCAGGGACAGTTAAGTGGTCGAGAGTTGTGGGGCCCACGAATTCACAATTAATACGCCTGAGGTCTAGGTGGGGTGCTTGACGCAGCTTGATCGGGCGGCGCAAAATCGCAAATCCAAGGTTTTCGGCGCTCCAAGCTTTCGGCGGTGTCTCCGAGGTTCCTGGATGCACTCGAATAGTCCTCCTCCTAGTCCTCATCGTCGTCGTCGTCGTCCTCCTCATCGTCGTCGTCGTCGTCGCTGTCGTCGTCGTCGTCGTCGTCCTCCTCCTCCTCCTCCTCATTGCTCAAACGCGCCTTCCGACTCCCATTTGGGGTTGGCGCATTGTGTGCAGTGCTGGGACAGGGCTCTGGCTCAGAGCTTCAAGGACCCATCGCCCTAGGGGGACGAGGACCAGGCGAAGGAGGACGAGGAGGACGATGGTAAGCAAGAGGATGAGGAGGATCACACATGCCCCTATAATGATGAGGATGTTGAGGATGATGAGGAGCAGGATCATGAAGAGCTTCTGCTGAGCATGAGGTTTGTGGTAACGGTGGTGGTGATGATGATGACGATTATGAGGATGATGATGAGGATGCTCATGATGATAACGATGATGATGCTGATGCTGCTGCTGATGATGGCGCTGCTGATTATGATGATGATGATGATGCTGCTGATGATGCTGTTGCTGATGATGATCATGATGGTGGGGATGGTGGTGATGATGGCGAGGATGGTCATGATGATGATTCTGAGGATCAGGATAAGACGGATCAGCCAGTTGTTATTATTGCTGTGACTGTTGTTGTTGTCGTCGTTGTGGTTGTGGGTGTTGCTGTTGCTGTTGCTGTTGATGTTGCTGTTGTTGTTGTGGCTGTTGTTGTAATTGTTGCTGTTGTTGTTGTAGTTGTTGTTGTTGCTGATGCTGCTGCTGCTGCTGTTGTTGTTGTTGTTGTTGTTGTTGTTGTTGTTGTTGTTGTTGTTGTTGTTGTCGACGTCGTCGTCGTCGTCGTCGTCGTCGTCGTCGTGGTTGTTATTATTGTTGTTGTTGTTGTTGTTGTTGTTGTTGTTGTTGTTGTTGTTGTTGTTGTTGAACATTATTACTTCTAAAGAATAATTATTGTTGGGGCCCCTGGTGCACGACCCCCCCGCCGCGCCTAGGCCGCAGCCTCATTTTCATCATTTTCGTGAGGAAGTCTCAGGCAAAACGGGTTGGTCCGGATCCGGTTGTGTTGTTACGATCGGTTTTCCCTTGCAAAAAATAAGCTAAAGTGGACATTTCTTGTTCTAACATAACCAAACTTCAAGAATCCCTTGCAAAAAATAAGGTAAAGTGGACATTCGCGCGCGCAAGACGAAATCCTTCCAAAACCTTAGTTTTCGTAGCGATTTTAACATAAAAACATCAAAAAACCAATGGTTTTTCAAAAAAATGTCAAAATTTCATCCCGCGCGCTCTTGCGGATTCGTAGGAAACCCAACACTTTTTAAACATTTCTGTCAAACGGGCTTTTGCGAGCAACTTTTTCGAACTTCTGCAACAACGGTTGCGCACCTGCCAGGGCCATCATCCCTGTCAAATAATACCATGCGGGACACATTCGTTTTTTCTTCGCGCGCGCACGCCGTCGTCGTCGGCCGCGGGGGCCTGAATAGTAGCCACGGTCGTCCGCATGCCACGAAGTGAAGTGTCCGAACGTCATAGGGCGGGAAGCTGGGTGTGGGTGGTGGCGAAGAGTCGTTTGGAAATTTGGTAGAGCTTGAACCGGCCCCCCCACAAAGTGGGGGTATTGCCCGCCTCCTATGAAAACCCTGGCACTGGTGAGAACGGTGTGTCCCCACGTGCTAGTAATTGTTGTTGTTGTTGTTGTTGTTGTTGTTGTTGTTGTCGTTGTTGTTGTTGTTGTTGTTGTTGTTGTTTGTTGTTGTTGTTGTTGCTGTTATTGTTGAGCACGTGTGCTAGTGCCCGGGGGGGAGTTGCGCTGGGGAGGGGGGGGGGGGGGCGCACGTAACCGCGCAAACGCTCGAGCGCGAGCGCGGTTGCGTGCGGACCCCCCTCCCTCGCAGCGTCTGCAGGTGGTTGCACGCGTTGCGTCTCCCCTTGCGCGTCCTGCCGAAGGCCCCAAGAGGCATCAGGGGGCACCAGTGGCTGCGCTCGCATGCGCCCACCGCGCGCATTCTGGCATACCCCTCATACGTTTCGTGGCCCCACAGGGAGCTCCTCAGAAGCCTTACTCCGGCACACCCCTCTCGAGGATCGTGGCCCTGGCTCCACAGGGAGCTTCACCGAAGCTTCATTTCGGCACACCCCTTCCCGAGGATCGTGGCCCTGGCCCCACAGGGAGTTTCACCGAAGGGTCATTTCGGCATACCCCTCTCGAGGCTTGTGGCCCTGGCCCCACAGGGAGCGCCACCGAAGCTTCATTTCGGCACACCCCTGTCGAGGATCGCGGCCCAGGCCCCACAGGGAGCTCCACCGAAGCTTCATTTCGGCACACTCCTCTCGAGGATCGTGGCCCTGGCCCCACAGGGAGCTCCACCGAAGCGTCATTTCGGCACACCCCTCTCGAGGATCGCGGCCCAGGCCCCACAGGGAGCCCCGCCGAAGCTTCATTTCGGACGCTCCTCTTGAGGATCGTGGCCCCACATGGAGCTCCACCGAGGCTTCATTTCGGGACTTCCCTCTCGAGGATCGTGGCCCTGGCCCCACAGAGAGCTCCACCGAAACTTCATTTCGGCACACCCTCTCTCGAGGATCGTGGCCCTGGCCCCCCAGAGAGCTTAGTAGTAGTAGTAGTAGTAGTAGTAGTAGTAGTAGTAGTAGTAGTAGTAGTAGTAGTAGTAGTAGTAGCAGTAGTAGTAGTAGTAGTAGTAGTAGTAGTAGTAGTAGTAGTAGTAGTAGTAGTAGTAGTAGTAGTAGTAGTAGTAGTAGTAGTAGTAGTAGTAGTAGTAGTAGTAGTAGTAGTAGTAGTAGTAGTAGTAGTAGTAGTCGTAGTCGTAGTAGTAGTAGTAGTAGTAGTAGTAGTTAGTAGTAGTAGTAGTAGTGGTAGTGGTAGTGGTAGTGGTAGTGGTAGTGGTAGTGGTAGTGGTAGTGGTAGTGGTAGTGGTAGTGGTAGTGGTAGTGGTAGTGGTAGTGGTAGTGGTAGTGGTAGTGGTGGTGGTGGTGGTGGTGGTGGTGGTGGTAGTGGTACTAGTAGTAGTCGTAGTCGTAGTAGTAGGTCCCATAGAGCTCCTATACATGTCCCAGCAGGTCGTATAGAGCCCCTAATAGAGTGTCCAATGTGTCCTATAGAGCCCCTAATAGTGCCCAGCGTGTCCTATAGAGGCCCTAATAGAGTGCCCAGTGGGTCCTACAGAGCCCTAATAGAGTACCTAGTGGGTCATATAGAGCCCCTAACAGAGTGTCCAGTGGGTCCTATAGAGCCCCTATAAATACCCAGTAGGTTCTATAGAGCCCCTATACATCTCCCAGTAGGTCCTACAGAGCCCCGATACATTTCCCAGTAGGTCCTATAGAGCCCGTATAAATTTCCCAGTAGGTTGTAGATGTCAGAGGAGCAGCTCGCTCGGCTGGTGCGCACATCGACGTGTTGCACAGAATCTCAGTGGGATGCTCTTAGCCATTCGTTTATAAAGCCCTATGGTGGCAGCGGACGTTGTGGAGCTGCGGTTGTCCCGGCCTCGCCTCAGTGGGAAGGCTGGAAACCTAGCGTCGTGGGGGGCAGGACAGCAGGAACCCGGCCTCACCTTGTTGTTGTTGTTGTTGTTGTTGTTGTTGTTGTTGTTGTTGTAGTTGTTGTTGTAGTTGTTGTTGTGATTGTGGTTGTGGTTGTGGTTGTGGTTGTGGTTGTGGTTGTGGTTGTTGTTGTTGTTGTTGTTGTTGTTGTTGTTGTGGTTGTTGTTGTTGATGCTGTTGTAATTGTTGTTGAACACTATTACTTCTAAAGAATTATTATTGTTGGACCCCCTGGTGCACGCCCCCCGCCCAAAACCTAGGCCGCAGCTACATTTTCATCATTTTTCTGCGAAAGCTTCAGAAAAGTGGATTACCCCCGGATCCGTTTTTTTGTTGACGCTCGTTTTCCCTTGCAAAAAACAATAGAAAATGAAAATTCTTGTTCTTAGTTGATCAAATTTCAAGAATCCCTTGCAAAAAATAAGGTAAAGTGGACATTCGCGCTCGCAAGACGAAATCCTTCCAAAACCTTAGGTTTCGTAACGATTTTAACATAAAAACATCAAAAACCCAATGGTTTTTTAAGAAAAAATTGTCAAAATGTCCTTCCGCGCGCTCTTGCGGATTCATAGGAAACACACCACTTTTTAAACATTTCTGTCAAAAGGGTCTTTGCGTGCTACTTCTTCAGGTGCTTTGAACTTCTCCAACAACGGTTGCGCGCCTGCGAGGGCCACCATCCCTTGCAAAAAATGAGACGAAGTGCACATGCGCGCGGCCGCCGCGCGCGCATGTCGAAATCCTGCCAAACACTGCTCGGTAATCGCATCCCCACGAATTTGCCCCAAAAATGTGACCAACTATCTTGGCACTGCGTACCATCTCACGTGTACCGTGTACCACATCATATGTAACAGATGTGATCAACCTCTGTGGGTGTGTACCCCACGCCAGTGTAGTAGCCAGGGTCGTCCGCACGCCACGAAGTGAAGTGTCCCAACGTCATAGGGCGGGAAGCTGGGTGTGGGTGGTCTCGAAGAGTCGTTTGGATATTTGGTAGAGCTTGAACGGCCCCCCCACGAAGTGGGGGTATTGGCTGGTGTCGCAAGAAAACCCTGGCACTGGGGAGAACACTGAGCGTTCGGGTAAAATGATTATTGTTGTTGTTGTTGTTGTTGTTGAGTTCTCCAGTCTCAGGGGTAAGTATTGTAGATCCCGCCGCTGGTGCACATTGTGTTTTTCAATTGATGTGCCCCCCTCGGGGCTCGCATCCTGTTTTTAATCAGGGAAAGTCTTCGTGGTCAAACTGGGCCCCTGGCCACCTGGCTAAAACAACAACGGCTCCCGCCAGATACTTCCTCACAAACAATGTATTCCACAATCGCGCTCTCGCGAGGGACGTCCTCACAATCAATGCAGGAATCGCGCTTTCGCGTGGGACTTCCTCGTGGTTTATTCGGACACCGCAGCTTTGACACTCAGGAATCACGCTCTCGCTGTAGATTTTCTCAAGAATTATTTTTGGGAACCGCGTAATCGTTCGAGATTTCCCCGCGATTCATGCAGAACGCACGCTTCAGCAACTCGCCTGCTCGACCTCGCCACCTGGACCCGCCTTCTCGATCTGCCCGCTAGGGTCTGCCTGCCCGATCTGCCCGTCTGGTTCTGCCACGTGTCTCTCGTGCTCCATCTTTCTCCCCCTGTTC